ACATAAGTCTGCTAGTCACTAGTTTCTAGTCGGGAGAAAGGCACGTACAAGCTACGTGAATGCAAAAGCGATTGCACAACCGCGTACTTCCTTCCTCTTCTGAGCTTAGCGTGTATATACATTGAGTTGGATATAAGCAAATGGTTAGTAGGCAACCCTCTCACACAAGTGAGGAAGCTGTAAACAGTGACCTTGCTCTCATCCTGCACACCGTGGGATCAAGCAGAAAACCAGTACCGTCCGCTCTATTAAACTACCCATACGCGAGCTGTGTTGAGATGGCGTGGGAGCGAGGCAGGAGCCATCAAGCCTTTCATTGTGTGACCTCCTGCTTTCGACCTCGTAAGCTTGCAGTGGAGATAGAATGTGTGTGTGTCACAGCCTGAGGTAGCCATAATAACAAGCTGACCGTGTAACTTATGCGGTCAAACAATTGACTTCCCATTAGTGTGTCCATCCGCATGCGTATGGGTTGGTACCCGGTTGATAAACGGCAAGCGCATTGTAATCCAATACTCATTGATGGATAGTCCATTAGGTCTCAGTGACCATGTAGTAATAACGTTTAACTATGTGTGTTATGCAGAGTATCCATCTGAACACTAGGAACTAACTCATACAATCACACACTACCACGTATTAAAAGAACTCTCCGACGTAGCTGCTTGGGAATTATCAAACAAAAGTCCCCTTGACAACTTTTGGGCAGAGTTCGTTAATAGATTTAGCGACATTGTGAACAGTGCATCAGAGACCAAGCCCCTTCGTCCCGCAAAAATGCCTTCAATTCTAAGAAGCAGGACTCGAAAATGCCTGACGATAATGGATGCAGCATGGCGTGCTTACAAGATTAACCCCGACTCACGGACTTGGGATAATTTCCTGACCCATCGCAACCATTGCACTGCACTTGTCCGTGAGGACCAAGTAACTCATCAACAATGCCTGGCCAAAAGTTCATGGCAAACAATAAACTACTACATAGGCATGTCAATAAGCTTCGTAAAGTGAAGCATGGAATACCTCCACTATTCACGACAGGCGGTAGTACAAAGCGCCGAAGAAGCAGCTAATGCCCTGCGGCTGCAATACGCCCCAATTTTTGAACTCGCAACATCTACCTGTCCCATAATATCAAGCTCATTACCGACACCGTTGTTTACAAATGTTATTTTCAACCCATCAATTGTGCTAAGGAAGTTACTCTCACTGCGTGAACATAGTTCTCCGGGAGCAGACAACATCCGCCCGAAGGCACTGAAGGCTGTGGCCACTAAGCCAGCTGAACCACTGTCACAGTTCTTCCAAAGCTGCTTTGATGAACAACAAGTCCCCACTATGTGGAAGTGTGGCATTATAACCCCTATTTTTAAAGGCGGTAGCCGTTCCGATCCTGCAAACTATCGTCCAGTGACTCTCCTCCCTGTGCTCGCGAAGGTGATGGAAGCAGTCGTCGCTGAGGCTTTAATGGACTACCTGGAAAAAGCTAATATCTTGGCACCGGAACAGCATGGTTTCCGTCAACACCGATCATGCACCACCAACCTACTGATTGCACGAGATAGTTGGACGGAAGTGGCCGATGATGGGGTCGGAGTTGACGTCATCTATCTGGACTTCTCCAAAGCTTTCGACCGACTTGATCACCGCATCCTACTTCGATGGCTACAGAGTTACGGAATCGGAGATCCTGTACTTGGTTGGATTGGCAGCTTCCTTCACCAACGGAAGCTTCAAGTACGTGTTAGGGGATCACTTTCTAACCCAATTGAGGTGGAATGTGGTGTTCCACAAGGCTCAGTGCTGGGACCGCGCTTATTCCTGGTGTTTATCAACGACCTGGCATCAGTTGTCTCCTCAAACTTCCTGCTTTTCGCCGATGACGTCAAGATATGGCGGGCGATTAGTAACAAGCCAGATCAGGATCTGCTCCAACATGACCTAGATTGCATTTACGAATGGTCAAAGAGGAACAAGCTTCAATTGAACATGGCTAGGTGCAAAGTGATGCATCTGCGTCACCAGCCGGTGAGCGCTTACAAGATTGGAGACCACACCTTGGCGAAGGTTTCTCAGGAGCGTGACCTGGGTGTATTGGTACAGGAAGATCTCGGGTGTTCAAAACAAGCAGAGAAGGCGAGGAGATCCGGAAAGCAACACTTCGGCCTTCTTCACAGAGCCTTCGGTCGGTTTGAACCCTCAATATTTCCCCAAATGCTTAACGCCTACGTGCGACCTCAAGTGGAATATGCTATTCAGGCGTGGCAGCCGTGGCAGAAACAGGATCTTGTTGCTCTCGAGACTCCTCAACGAAGGGCAACCAAGAACGTCAGGGGCCTCTTTCATCTGCCCTATCAGCTTAGACTGAAATCTCTAAGAATGTATAGCAGTCAATATCGGCTTTTTTGGGGGATCTCATAATGGTTTACCAGATTCTGAAGAATTCAAACCACATTTGCCGTCCGCTGCTGGAATTGAACCACAACACTAAACTAAGAGGTCACCCTCTGAAACTGACAATTCATTATAGCCGGCTTGAATGCCGTAGAAATTTCTTTTCTCTCCGCGTGTGCCAGCCTTGGAACGCCCTCCCTAATTATGTCGTCTCTGCTCCCAATCTGGAGATAATTAAAAAACGTGTTGATGATGCATTGTCTCACTTACATTTCATTTTATGATCTGTTAGCAATCAAACTGTGTCTTGCCAAACTCCTAACCAATGGATTTATGGATTTATACGTTTAATACGCGAACATCTCCGCTATTCCACATAAGTCTATGGCGAGTCCACCACAACGCTTTTCACTTTATTATGCAATTGATTTTTGCAATAATTTCCATCCCACGAGACTTGCTAAGCAACGCTATTTTCCCCGTAATAAACCATTGTTCCATTGTTCCATCATCAATGTGAGACTGATAGGAGTGAGAACCTCACAGCGGCTCTGGGCACGTGACTGGTGTTGGTCGCGTGACAGCGAAACGCCGGAACAAACACTACCGCCGCCATGCTCTTTCATTCATTTCGTAGCTTTGATTTCCCTGTTTGTCTATGTAACCATTAATCTACTAAAGTATTCGTTCATTCATCTGAAGAACGTTTGTGCTGCTCGTGCGCAAAACTGCAATCCAAGACTGGTTTTGCATTCGCGTTGTTTGCAACGACTCTTCCTCTTTGGGGACATGCTCCGTCTGATAGAAGTTCTGCAAGATTCTGATTCGCAGTCCTGCTTTCTCTAACTGAAGGGTACAAATAAGTATGAAACCGCTTTTGGAGTGCGGTGTTTAGAGCGGGTAACATACAAACTTTAAGTGCTTCGGTTGTAGTTCCTGTAGCTGAATTGATCGAGGTTCACTTCACATGTTTAACACTTCAATCATTGAAAATGACAAAGAGAAAATTCGGCGTGTGGAAAACAAACTAAAAATGTTTGGTTCTACTTTTGTCAAAATGTGCCTTTCTTCATGCGGCATAGTAGCTGAAGTGTGTGGCTCACCTTCAACTACTATGTCACGATGAGTATGAGGAAGTGGCTTCCCGTTATTTGCTAATCTCCATGGCTTTGTTGACTCTATGTCTAGTTGCTTGGACTGTTGAGATTACATACATACTTCAATGTAACGTGTGGTCCAGACTGAGATGGTACGTCACAATCCATTCCCACAACGAACGCTTTCAACTTATCCACCTATGAATAGCTGTTAATTTATCTGCTAGTTTGTGTAAAATTGATTCATGTTGTAAATGTCACACAGCATGAATGAACGCGACATGAAAAATGAGCAGGAATAATTGGGTAAGTAGAGTTGCCCCTACTCGCCCACGTACAAGGGGTTAGTTTATTCCGATGACACGTATAGAGCCGGTAGTGAACCACAAGCTAGTCGGGAGAAGAACGGGCATCATAGCCTATTCGTAGGCTATGATCGCCACTTTAGTTCACTGTCCTCTCGAATAATTCTTCCAGGTGCAGTGCTCCTGAACACCCTTGACGCAGCAAGTTTATTAGCTTGTTCATTTGCCATCCACGGAACGCATATGAGGCTGGTGTCCATCAAAACCCTTCATGTGCCCATCACTGAGTGCTGTTCACCCAGGTTAGAACTAGGCCAATGTGCAAAGCAATTTTGGTTATAGTACAAGACCCGTAGTATTTACGCACGATTTAGGTGACTCGCTGAGTATCGGCAATCCTGAAGGTGGCGACATTTTGTCATTAACAACTATTCATTTTTGCACTCTTTTGTTCAATGAACCAACTTCATGATTTGGCCTGGGAGTTGACTCACTGAATCCTTATGCAATGTTAATCACCCGAGCCGTTTTAAAATGGAAACGACATGCTCATTACTAACTCTCAAAACTGCCCCTCACGCTTGATTTCATGCCTGTTGAAGTCCGTACTCAATCCCTGGATTAAGTGGTTTCCGACCGACTGATGTGCGGTGCATCGTTGACAGTGTTTTTCACACCAGTTAGTATGCAGCTCTAATCCGGTTTCAAATTATACAAGACTTCTGGAACACCATGCAACTAAGTTGCATAATAAAATCCAATACAAAGAAGTGAACAACTGTTATCAAACAAATCCGGAAAAACGGAACGTTATTAAAAACGAAGCTAACCTAAAACGAACGAGTTATCTTCGTTGCTACCGACAATTTAGATTGCAAAATTATCTACTGAACAGGACATAAAAACCTCAATCGTTGGCTAATATACTGTTAATTTATTATTCACTATATTTAACGTGAGCTAATGAACACCATGGAACCCGATGGATTCAGTTACTAAATCCAAGACTATGGCCGTTTCAAGCATTCGTCTCATGGTTTTCACTAACTTATCCCCTGTACTTGAGATGATCCGTAACTTTGCATCTGAAAGCCATGAGATCCCCAGAGATAAAAGTGGATAGCAGCGTATTTTGTTGCAGATGAGTGTCGGACGGCATGACCCAGGAAAGGAAAACAATTTGTGATCATGATGCGAGACTCACCAATCACAGTGGGTTCCAAGTCTACCATTAGCGCTCTGGGTGTCCAAGTTCTTTGGCCCCTATTAAAAAATGCTCCAATGTTCTCGCTGACTGATTCAAGAATTTCCTCCTCATTTTGCGTTAGTTGACCATCTGACGTAAGCTGGTGTTCTATGCAAAATAACTCCCACAGAGCTGAGCCCATTTGTACGCCGGCTTGACCAAAGTGAAGGAATAATATCTCCCGACCCATCTTGAAGGGGCTTAGAATAAATATACAAAACACTGATAAATAGTGTAACAGGTCGCCGGTAGGTTCAACCGGTCAACGGCATACTTCGGTTGACCTACTATTGATAAAAAAATTTAAAGGAAAATCGATGCTGTTCAGCTTACACGGTGTTGCATTGTACTCCACTGGTTTTAACGAAGCGAAACACTCGGGGTTGCAACATGGGATACACTAACTTCGACCAAGTCGGTTATCAAGATCAGCAGCCGCAGATGTTGGATATTGTAAGAAGACTGGAGGCGATGAATTAGTTTAAAAAGGAAACTGTGTGCAAATCATCCCTGAAGACTAATCCTTATAGTGTTGCAAATTATTTCGAATCCATATCGTTTGTATCTCTGGCTTCCTTGATGATAGACATCATTCTGCCGATTGGGCTACTCGCTTGGTCGTGAATCGTCTACTTGGTTGCAATTTGGTTGTTGTAAAAGAAATTTAAAATCCCAGTGGCGACCAAATATAATTCCTGTTTGTATTACGATGGAGAAAGGATATGGTAATTATTGTCATTCGGCCTACGTTACAATCCCTTTCGGTGGAACCGGCACACAAACAGACTCCTGAAAATTTTCCATAACGGGGATTAGAGAGCAGATTAATTCCATGATGTTGGATAAGCTACGCTTCTGTTGATGGCACCGTTGATAAAAAGACTTCCATTCCCACTCCGACTTTCGGGTGCGTTTCGGCGGACGTCCGCAACGGCGCGGTGAGCGCATAGATACTTACCGATTGGCGAAGTCAGATGTTCTGAATGTGTATCAAAGTACGTTAGCATCCGAGCTCACTGAACGCAGTTGAAGATCACTGGTCGCATATCCCCCAGACATTATCATCAGCAGGCGTGTCCTCATGTGGCAAATCAAGCCGCCAGCCTGGACATTGGATCTCCACGCAGTCTCTGGAACTTATGAATGCTCGCCAAGATAATCCGGCTAGAAGCGAAACAATGAGACTCACCAAGGTCTCTTGGCGAAACTGCGTGCCAAGCTGATTAATATATTCTTATACAACAGTTGCCCAATATACAATTGGCAGTGCCACAGCACATAATTAACGGGAACAAAAAGGGAAAAGACAGGTAGTCAGTGGAATGGGTTAGAAAGGCTTATGTTAGGTTTGAAGAAATAATGTCAGCTGTACACTGTAACGGAGCTTCGCTGTCGTGTGACCATGATCAGTCGCAAACTGGGTGAGTATACCACGAGGACTCCCACCCTTACGCGGATTCGAACCCGCGTCGCAAGATTCCGAGACAAACTCGTCACCTCTAGGCTACGGGCTGGCTTGCCGAACAACCTCCTCGTGGTGCCAGCTGGGTGGTTCGGGTTTTTCCCGTTCCAGCAAATGCTTCGGCGGTAATGTTCTAGGACGTCGTGGGTTTTCGCCTGGCAAGCGTTCTCCCTACAAAAAGCCACAAATGTCTGTTTAACAACACTACGAGGTGGCGGATGTGACGCCACTAAATAAAGTCACTGCCCCTTGCCTCTCCCTGAGAGGCATTATCCTTCAAGGATGCACTGGGCCCTTGGTCCTTCACGGACCGAAAGGCGCATGAACCATATACTTGGTCACTGACTCCCAACGGGTTACGACGCCCTCACATCACCCTCCTGCCTTGTAGGTCATATCTTTGAGCAAAGCCTCGGGGTAGGGCCCCCTAAGATAACCCTCTACTTCGGCTTGGGCAACCAGGTAGTATCACGCCCACTGACGAATCATGGACCAAATTGCTTACTACTGCTCTTGCTACGCCAGTCTTCTATGTTAACTCAACTGCTCAGCCTCCACTCACAGATCACCCCACCACCCGTCCTTCATCTACAGGTACTCTTATGTCTTCTTTGGTCACCGTCACAAACGACCCACGTCTCGCAATTGATGGAAAGAACAGCCAAACTCCCGGTTTTCAATGTTCCGCGATCGTAACCGTCTCTCAATCCACCGAAGGTTCAGCTCTTCTTCGACCTAGTTCTCCATTCATCCTCGGAGCGGTTAATGTGCGAACTTTGATGCAGATCAGATGGCAAGCATGTATGGCCCGTACTCTTGAAACGCTCGCGGTAGATATCTGTTGCCTTTCAGAGACAAGATTACAAGACTTTAGCACCGTCATCAGAATGGCCTCTCTGGTAAATCCTGACGCCAAATACCACTTGCTGCTTTCCGGAGACGCAGAAGCTGCTGCCTCTGGCCAAGCTGGTGTTGGGGTTTCACTGAGTGTCAGGGCTGAATCAGCTCTGCTTAACTGGATCCCGGTCAACAGTCGGCCATGTGCAGTCAGACTACGAGGTTCATGTAATGTAAACAGGCGTCAAGACGTTAAGCGTGTCTTGTTTGTCTTCTCCGCCTACGTCCCTACAGACTGCAGCCCAGATGCAGTCAAGCATAGCTTTTACCAGCAACTATGTGAATTTCTGCGTTCCTCCAAAAAGACTGATATAGGCATTCTTGCCGGGGACTTTAATGTACCTTGATGGTAGTTTTGGTCTCGGGGGTAGTCGACCAGCCAATGGAGACAGACTGCTTGCTCTTTGCTCTGATCATCACTTTTTTCTTTCGAGCACTAGTTTTCGGCCCTCGAGGCGACCCACTGCCATCTGGCGCCCACTCTCACATACACAAGAGTGCTCCCAGCTTGATCACCTAGCAATCAGCTACAGATGGTGCGGAAGCGTAACGGACTGCCGATCATACTAGTCAACTTATCTAGACTCCAATTGCGTATCGGTTAATATCAAGATTTGCATGCGTTTCGGAGGATCAAGTAAGAGCGCTCACTAATGACCGGACGTCGCAAATCTACAAAGCCCTGCGATTTTAACCAGGTACTAAGCCTCACTGTCAACTTTGCTTGGCTCAACTATTGACGGTGACCTCGATTCACAGTGGACGCAGATCAAATATGCCTTAGTTTCCGCCAATATCGACGCTGGTGCAGTTGTTCGCCACCCACCGAAACATTGGATTTCCGCCGTCTCCTTGTCACTGTTAGACAAAAGCCGCTTGATCCCGTCGGATTCCAGACACAGTGAAGAACGCCAATCCCTGGATCGAGAGTTCTGCAGGAGTCTGCAAATGGGGGACGAAGCTTGGTGGTGTGTACGTGCTAGGGAGATGGAGCTTGCTAGTCTCTCTGGTAATACCATAAAACTTTTCCATCTCATTCGGGTCACCGAAGGTGTTGGATCTGGTATAAGTGAAACAATATGCGAAGAGGATGGCACCTTAATCACCAATCTTCAACGACGGTTGGAGCGATGGGCCGAACATTTTGGCACGCAGTTTTGTTGGCCCCCAGCTCCATCTGCTACCTCGGGCGCACGCGCTTGGGCGCAGTGGTCTACCCCACAGATCCTCCCTCTTACACAGGAAATCGATCAGGAGCTCCGGCACATGAAGCGTTATAAAGCTCCCGGCTCTGATATCCTTCCTCCAGCTATATTTAAAGATGGTGGCGCTTCGCTGGTTCGAGAACTCACCGCGTTGTTCTCGAAAGCTTGGTCAAAAGAGGAAGTTCCATCATTTTGGGGTGAATCGATAGTCGTTTATATCTTCAAAAAGGCCTGCGAACAATCTGCTCCAAATACAAAGACATAGACTTAGTCCCCTTCGTTTGCAAGCTGTTGGTGTCCGTGATACTTCGCAGGCTATCCCCAATGCGCGAATGGTTGCAGCAAGAAGAACAAGCTGGGTTCCGCCGTGGTCGTGTCTACATCGATCAAATCTTCACACTCTGCCAGATCCTCGAGCTCCGCCATGTGTATTAGAGGCCGACGATTGCTGTGTTCTTGGATATCCGTGCAGCCTTCGATTCTGTCGATCGGACTGTACCGTGGCACTGCCTACTGAGGAACGGCGTCCCCGAGAATTTCGTCTCCATACTGCGCGCCCTCTGTGGTCTGGCCTCGGGCAGGGTTAGGGCTTAAGGAAAGTTTTCGCCTTCCTTTGCGGTCTCCGGTGGTGTTCGACAAGGATGCCCTATCTCTCCGTTCCTATTTAACTTTGCCATTGAGGATGTCTTAAAGAACGCTCTAGGCGATTCGTTGAACCCTGAGGTTGAGCTCCTCACAGGTAGTTGACTTGTTTATTTAGCTTATACTGATGATATCGTCTTGCTGGGTGACGATCCACACGTCGTCCAATTTGCACCAAACCGCTTGGCGATTGAAGCATCAAAGTATGGTAGGTACTTTTCGCCATCCAAATGCAAGGCTCTCTTCCAAGACTGGCAGGTGTCCCTGCCTGCACTCACACTTGGTGGTGAAACATTAAAGGTTGTGGAGAGCTTTGTCTACTTGGGAAGTTGCATCACTGCTGGCGGGGCTGTTGGAGACGAGATTTCGACGCGCATCTTGAGAGCACGCCTCGCTTTTTCTAGGCTGAGGCATTTGTGGCGTCGCCACGACATTCGTCTCTCCATCAAAGGGCGGGTCTATTGTGCAACTGTTCGTGCTGTACTGTTGTACGGATGAGTGACCTGGCCCATTCGTAAAGATGACTTGCGCAGGCTATCTGTCTTCAAGCACCGCTGTCTGCGGTCCATTGCCCGTGTGCGGTGGCAGCACCACATAAGCAATGTGGAAGTTAAACTGTGTGTCTTGGGACGACGAAGTCATTCACTCGAGGAGCTCGTCTCACTGCATCAACTGCGGTGGTTGGGACACGTATTACGCATGCCTCTCCAGCCTTACCTGCGTCGTGCGTTGTTTGCGATTGATGGACAGGGCTGGAGAAGACGATCTAAAGGACAGCCTGCAACTTGGAGAAGCCATATGAAAAAGCTGACGAAACAGTTGGCCTCAGCCGGTTGTTGTCGACTACCTGGTTGGGGTCCGAGAGACGCGGATATTTGCTGGTTGAGGACCTTGGAAGCCATGGCTCAAGATCGATGTCAATGGCGGATGTGTGCATCGGTGTGTTGCAGTGTCCCTCCTTCATCTCACTAAAATCTGAAGAAGAACCTCAAAAACTGCGAGTGGCTAACTGGACAAAAAAGCTTTTATTGTTGTTATTTGCTTATTATTCATACTGTTTTTCCAATTCAACAATGATTTCGATGGCAGAATATCTT